CCTGACAGCCAGGAGGTGAAAGTTGCATATACATATAATATATATATAATATAATTTAATATGATATGATATAATATAATATAATAAAATATAATATAATATAATATAATTATATAATACATACATACATACATACATATATATAATACATATATACATAATATAATGTAATACATACATATATAATACATATACATATGTAATACATATATATATATATAAAATACACATATATATATATACATATAATACATATATATGTATAATGATATATAATACATATATATATAATGATATATAATACATATATATATTAAGAAATATAATACATATATATATATTTTAAGAAATATAATACATATATATATAATGATATATAATACATACATATATATATATAATGATATTTAATACATATCTACATATATATATAATAATGTATAGAATATATATATATAGAATATATATATAGAATATATGTATATAGAATACACATATATATATATGTAGAATACACAAAAATAAATAGAATACATATATATATATATGATACATATATATATAATATAATATATGTATATATTATATCCTTTTTTTTCCCTATTTATTTCCCTATTTTTTTTCCGTATTTTTCCCCTATTTATTCCCGTATTTTTTCCCTATTTATTTCCCTATTTTTTCCCTATTTATTTCCCTATTTTTTCCCTATTTATTTCCTTATTTTTCCCTATTTTTTTCCCATTTTTTCCCGCTATTTTTTCCCTATTTTGTCCCTATTTATTTCCCTATTTTTTCCCTATTTATTGCCCTATTTTTTCCCTATTTATTTCCCTTTTTTTCCCCCTATTTATTTCCCTATTTTTTCCCCTATTTATTTCCCTATTTATTTCCCTATTTATTTCCCTATTTATTTCCCTGTTTTTACCTATTTATTTCCCTATTTATTTCCATATTTATTTCCCTATTTATTTCCATTTTTTTCCCCTACTTATTTCCATTTTTTTTTCCCCTATTTATTTCCCTATTTATTTCCCTATTTATTTCCCTATTTATTTCCCTATTTATTTCCCTATTTATTTCCCTATTTTTTCCCTATTTATTTCCCTATTTTTTCCCTATTTATTTCCTTATTTTTTCCCTATTCATTTCCCTATTTTTTACCTATTTATTTCCCTATTTATTTCCCTATTTTGTCTCTATTTATTTACCTATTTATTTCCCTATTTTTTCACTATTTACTTTCCTATTTTTTCCTGTTTATTTCCGTATTTTTCCCTATTTATTTCCCTATTTATTTCCATATTTTTCCCTATTTTTTCCCTATTTATTTCCCTATTTATTTCCCTCTCTATTTTTACCTATTTATTTCCCTCTCTCTATTTCCCTATTTATTTCCCTATTTTTTTCCCCTATTTATTTCCCTTTTTTTCCCCTATTTATTTCCCTATTTATTTCCCTATTTATTTCCCTATTTTTTCCCTATTTATTTCCCTATTTTTTCCCTATTTATTTCCTTATTTTTCCCTATTTATTTCCCTTTTTTTTCCCCTATTTATTTCCCTATTTATTTCCCTATTTTGTCTCTATTTATTTACCTATTTATTTCCCTATTTTTTTCACTATTTACTTTCCTATTTTTTCCTGTTTATTTCCGTATTTTTCCCTATTTATTTCCCTATTTATTTCCATAGTTTTCCCTATTTATTTCCAATTTTTTCCCCTATTCATTTCTCTATTTATTTCCCTATTTATTTCCATATTTATTTCCCTATTTATTTCCCTATTTTTTCCCTATTTATTTCCCTATTTTGTCCCTATTTATTTCCCTATTTATTTCCCTAGTTTTCCCTATTTATTTCCATATTTTTCCTATTTATTTTCTTATTTTTTCCCTATTTATTTCCCTATTTTTCCCCTATTTTTTCCTCTATTTATTTCCCTATTTATTTCCATAGTTTTCCCTATTTATTTCCCTATTTATTTCCCTATTTATTTCCCTATTTATTTCCATATTTTTTCCCTATTTATTTCCCTTTTTTTCCCCTATTTATTTCCCTATTTATTTCCCTATTTATTTCCCTATTTATTCCCCTATTTTTCCCTATTTATTTCCCTATTTTTTTCCATATTTATTTCCTTATTTTTTCCCTATTTATTTCCCTATTTTTTCCCTATTTATTTCCCTATTTATTTCCATATTTTTTCCCTATTTATTTACCTATTTTTTTTCCTATTTATTTCCAAAATTTGACTCATTTATTTCCCTATTTATTTCCATATTTATTTCCCTATTTATTTCCCTTTTTTTTCCCCTATTTATTTCCCTATTTATTTCCCTATTTATTTCCCTATTTTTTCCCTATTTATTTCCCTATTTTTCCCCTATTTATTTCCTGATTTATTTCCCTATTTATTTCCTTTTTTTTTCCCTATTTATTTCCCTATTTATTTACCTATTTTTTCCCTATTTATTTACCTATTTTGTCCCTATTTATTTCCATATTTTTTTCCCAATTTATTTCCCTATTTTTTCCATAGTTATTTCCATATTTTTTCCCCTATTTATTTCCCTCTTTATTTCCCTATTTATTTCCCTTTGTTTTCACCTATTTATTTCCCTATTTTGTCCCTATTTATTTCCCTATTTATTTCCCTTTTTTTTCCCCTATTTATTTCCCTATTTTTTCCCCTATTTATTTCCCTATTTATTTACCTATTTATTTCCCTATTTATTTCCCTATTTTTACCTATTTATTTCCCTATTTATTTCCATATTTATTTCCCTATTTATTTCCATTTTTTTCCCCTATTTATTTCCCTTTTTTTCCCCTATTTATTTCCCTATTTATTTCCCTATTTATTTCCCTATTTTTTCCCTATTTATTTCCCTATTTTTTCCCTATTTATTTCCTTATTTTTTCCCTATTTATTTCCCTTTTTTTTCCCCTATTTATTTCCCTATTTATTTCCCTATTTTGTCTCTATTTATTTACCTATTTATTTCCCTATTTTTTTCACTATTTACTTTCCTATTTTTTCCTGTTTATTTCCGTATTTTTCCCTATTTATTTCCCTATTTATTTCCATAGTTTTCCCTATTTATTTCCAATTTTTTCCCCTATTCATTTCTCTATTTATTTCCCTATTTATTTCCATATTTATTTCCCTATTTATTTCCCTTTTTTTTCCCCTATTTATTTCCCTATTTATTTCCCTATTTTTTTCCCTATTTATCCCCTATTTTTTTCCCTATTTATTTCCCTATTTTTTCCCTATTTATTTCCCTATTTTTTCCCTATTTATTTCCCTAGTTTTCCCTATTTATTTCCATATTTTTCCTATTTATTTCCCTATTTTTTCCCTATTTATTTCCCTATTTTTTCCCTATTTATTCCCCTATTTATTTCCTCTATTTATTTCCCTATTTATTTCCCTATTTATTTCCCTATTTATTCCTGATTTATTTTTCTATTTATTTCCCTATTTATTTCCATATTTATTTCCCTATTTATTTCCCTATTTATTTCCCTGTTTATTTCCCTATTTTTTTCCCTATTTATTTCCCTATTTTTCCCTATTTATTTCCATAGTTTTCCCTATTTATTTCCAATTTTTTCCCCTATTCATTTCTCTATTTATTCCCCTATTTTTTCCCCATTTATTTCACTATTTATTTCCCTATTTTTTTTCCTATTTATTTCCGTATTTTTTCCTTTTTTATTTCCCTTAATATATATGAATATATATATATTATATATAATATATATATATAAATATAATATATATATATATATTATAATATATATATATATATATTATATACATACTATATACACCTGTCTCTCTCTCTCTCTGTGTCGGTCAGCAGTGTGTGTCCTTGTGGACCTCTTCTTGGCTGGTGCTGGTTTTGGTCACTGTGCAGGTACACCACATGGTTTAGTTGACAGCTGAGCCTGATTGGATAGGAGCCGGTTACGGATTGTGTGCTCAAAAGCGGAAGACGTATGGAGAAAAACGACAGGCCTTACTGCAGCTTCTGCTTCCCAACATCCTTCTTGATTCCTGTTGGAGCCACCATTTCAGCAGCCTTGCTGACTGCGCTGCCATTTCCTTCCCAAGTCTAAGTATTGAAAAAGATCGACCAAACGTACAGGTGCTTTCAAAAACAGCACCAGAAACTAGCTCCACCCCAGACTCTCTAGATCTTCGGGTTGACCGATGAACAACCCACCTGTGACCAGCAGATCTGAGAATCTGAGAAGCTGAGCGCTTGAACAAAAACCAGGCAGCCAGGAGAAACTGAGAATCTAAGCTTTCAACTGGTACTGTAGAACCGCTCTGCTCGCCCCTCATGGTGCCAGGAGGCGAGTAGAGTCTGAGACGGAGAGTCACGGTAGTCACTTTTCCAGCGCCATGTGTCCACTTTCATCTAGGGGTTTCCTAAAATGGGGGTACCCCAATAGCTGGATGGTTTCTTTCGTGGAAAATCCTCTTAAGATAGTTTGGGGTAGTGGTAGCCTTATTTTAGGACACCTCCATCGACCTGTTCAGGCCCAGGGGGCTGTCCTGGAGGATGCTGTGGATGCGGCTGCGGCGGCTGTCCTGGTAGCTGCGGCTGTGGCGGCATGTCCTCTCCATCCATGTCTTCTCCAAGTCACCTGGCCCCCATTGGTTGGTGATGAGGGGATGTGCCAAAAGAACATCTCACCAAAAAATGGGATGAGTACGATGATCATCATTGAACATCCCATTTTTAGCACTCAGGATGCCCCTGTTCTGACCTAGGGTGAACGAGTTCCAGTTTCTAAACAAAGCTGCCATATTCAATATTCAAGTGATTGAAAACGTTCTTCGTCGCTGCAGGCACTACACCTATGTCAGGGATGCCTGGTATGATGCAAGGTGGCCCTGGCATGCCAATGGGTGGTGGAATGGGCATGGGTGGAATGCCCATGATGGGTGGCATGGGTGGCATGGGAGGCATGGGTGGGATGAGCGGAATGGGCATGGGTGGTGGCATGGGTGGTGGCATGGGTGGTGCGATGGGAGGTGGAATGGGTAGCGGAATGGGCGGTGGCATGGGTGGCATGGGTGGTATGGGTGGCGGAATGGGAGGTGGCATGGGTGGTGGAATGGGAGGTGGAATGGGTGGAATGGGTGGAATGGGAAACATGGGGGGCATGCCGATGATGGGCATGGGTGGTATGCCTATGATGGGTGGCATGAATCCAATGGCCAAGAGCTTAGTCGATCATAGGGCATGGAAGTCTCAAAGTATAGCAGCATACCAAGAGCACATGGCAGTGCCGGCAGTGCTATCATTCTTTTGTGGACTTGGACCTAGGCCATGATGAACATGGCGGCCATGATGAACATGGCCATGGGCAATGCAGATGAAGAGGAGGAGAAGGTCGCCCGGCCGCCTCCAGATCCCATCGATCCTCGAGTCAAAGAGATCTGTCGACATTTTGGCATCGACGATAAGATCTGCGAAAAACTGAACAAGGCTGGCATGGTGAGCTCCGAGCCCATTGAAACCATGATATATGACATATGACATATGACATATGATTCATATGATACGAAATGGCATGCCATGACATAACATGACTTGATATGACATGAATGAAATGAAAAGATAGATAGGTGCGTAGGTCGGTCGGTAGGTAGGTAGGTAGGTAGGTAAGTAGGTAAGTAGCTAAGTAGGTAAGCAGGCAGATAGATTAGATAGATTAGATAGATTGGATAGATTAGATAGATTTGATAGAATAGAATAGAATGGAATAGAATAGAACAGAATAGAAACAGCATAGACTAGGTTGGATAGAAACCTATAGCACTTATTCAACAGAGAGATGGAGACGCGCGGCGAGAGTTGCGCTTGGACAGCGCAAATTTTCAGGCCATGAAGACCAGAGAAGATTATGATGAGGACATGCAGGTTTTATGGCATATCATGGAGAAGGGCGCCAAGAACAACAAAAAATCCGTAGATGTGATGCTCGTGAAGATCCGTGAGCTCAACAATGGCAGTTTCATTGGCGGCCTGGTTCAACTGGCGAATAAACTTTGGGAATACACTTAGTTTTGTACTTGACCATTCGAATCAAGGGACAACTTTGTTTTTGTGCCCTGCTGCACTGAGGGAAAGACTTGTTGGATCCAGAGATCAAAGACTTTGCGTGGAAGTACAATTTGGATGATCAGCTCCTACACAGATTAATCAAGACCATGAAGATTCGAGGGAAGCACAAATCCCAGGCGGCTGTTACTGTGATGACCGCTCCAGTTTTGTTCTGAAGGGCAGTGGGTATTTTTGCTGTTTTCATCCATTTCCGGCAGGAATCTAGCTCACTCTACAGGTCTTGGTTTGCTTTTGATCTTTTCCAAGCCAGAACTGCTTGGTTGTTTCAAGCACCATTTTTTTATCCCTCCTAAAGATTCCCAATGACATTCGTGGTTTTTGTTCGGTTGCTCAACCGCAAGCAGATCAGCTTAACATTTCCACACCTTCTTTCAGGATCTGAAAGACATGGATGAGCGGATTGGCGGGGCAGCTCTGTGCTGACGGTTTTGTCTGTCCAGGCTGTTGATCAATATATATCATATTACATACTATATTATATGTGTTGATATTTTTCCGATCTATTTCTATTGCCTGGGAATAAAGATGAATGCCTAACACACTAGAAAGGTCTCGGGATTTCTTTGCAAAATTTGGAATGAATGTCTGCTGTGAAGCTTAGCTGAAGAGCCACGAGGCAACGCCAAGCACCCATCGGGGCTTCTAGTTCGAATGTTGGAAGGCACCGATTTTGCACGTGTCCGTTTTGGACTTGGCTACAATTTGTGGAGTAGAGCTACGGATTTCAAGATTCACGCAATGCATGCAATCATAGTGGTAGATGTGCTTGGATTAAGAGGCTAATGCTTAAGTAGCAAAGATATCTATGATATCTATGAATTTCCATCACGCCAATCATACACAAATTTGCTCCAAGTTGAATTTGAGGACCATTGACAGAATGTTGGTAGGCTGGTGTTCAAAAAATGTCCCCTCCGTTGTGGACAATCGCCCAAAGTTTGATGGTAATTTATACACTTTAGGGTTTTTTCAGGCTTTATTCAAAGTTTTTTAAGGGTTTGTTGGGTTTGTTCCAGGGTTGATTCAGTGTTTATTGAGTGCTCTTTCAGGGCCGAAGGGCGTTCTTCAGGATGTTAGTTAAAGTCTCTAATATGTTCACACCATGGTCCAAGAGGTGATTTTAGCAAAAACATAGACTTACGTTCTCGCAACAATGCAAGGAGACACAATCTCCATCTTTCCATATTTTGTATGTTTGAAGTTTGCAGAAAACACCCCAACAACACAACAGGTTGAATTGTCAACATTCGTGCCAGGCCTTGAGGAAAATGGAAAGATGCCTCCTGCCCCTGGCTGGTGCCCTTGGGATGTGAGATTTTCTGTTGGGACTTTTCAGGAGGCTACATGCAGCCTGATTGTTGTTCATTAATACACAGCCAAATACACATTAATCATCATTCATCAGGAACAATAATGAATAATCATTAATGATCATTAATCATTAATATAACCTCATTAATATTAATTACCAGATCCTTGAGCGTCAGCTGCCAGGCTCCACGCACGTCAGGCTCGAGAAGAGTCTGAAGCCAAGGACCTTCCGAAACCAGGGATCTGTGGGATACAGAATATATATATAATATTATCCAATATGTATATATATATATGATATAATTTGTAAGATTATATTAATCTCCATATATAGATGATATGAATCTATATAAAGATTATATTGATATATATATATACATTATATATATATATACACATAGAAATTTCATATCCGGGGACATTCCCCTTATCAGGTAGTAGCATGTCGTTGGTTGCATCCAGGAGAAAGCTGAAAGGGCAGCGGCCGACAGGAAGTCGCGGTCTCGGTCTCGGTCCAAATGACGCGATGACGCGATGACGGTTGGAGCGTTGAAAAGCGCCGGCGCTGTCGTTTGAGTCGCGATTCTCCATAGGATTCAACGAAGAAAAATGGTGATGTATTTTTTTTTCCCACCAAAACCTCCATTCATAGGGTATTTTCCGTTGCCGATGACACCGGAGGGTAACAAAGGTGGTGTTTCGGTGTGAAAATCACTTCAAGCTGGTTCAAGGAAGAAGTCGTTCCGCAGAGAGCTAGCTTTCAAAGAAACAGCCAGAGGTTCTGATCGAAGATGCTTTCAAAGGTTCAGCTGAAAAGAGATGGTGTAGACTTGACCACAGAACACAGCACCCTTTGAACTTGGGCTCTTGCGATGGATCTTTGTGGTCTTGGGACAGCTGGTGGAATGGTGGAAGTCGGCTGAAGAGTGGGAGGCTGAAAAGCAATGAACCAGAGTGGGTTTGATGTTTCGATGTTCATCCGAAAGAGCAATCCTGGGAATTGGGCTGACCGTTTTTTTGACTCAGTGTTCTTGACCTTCACAAACGTGAGAGATGCTTGGAATCCTTCCAGATGGGTTCGCAGTCCATAGTTGTTTCGTCTAGATTCCAACGCTCTGTCAAGAACACACAGTGAGTTCTATTGTCATAGAGTACATCGAGTCCTTAATATCAGCATGTGTCAGCAATCTCTGAAGCACCTTTTGCAATTGCGAGTTGTTTTTGTAGACTGATTGGGGCACTGCACCTTGCCGAGGTTCTTTTCCTTGACAAATGGACTTCGGCGATGTTACCTTCGACCAGAAAAAGCGTTTGGCACGTCTTGCCAAGCTGGAACCCCCAGGATAGATTTGCTGACATTGGCGTGCAATCTCCCGTTGGGCCGACCGTTTTTGTGTTGGGGACGAATGCGTTCTGGAGCCTTTTCATCATTTACAGTCTAGGTGATATCAAGAGATGATTGATTTTAACATCGGGTCTGCAAATATCTTGGACATTCAACGACCTTCAACCATTCCCGGCCCATTTTTCAACCTTTGTCCGGGGTGCCGGTGCCCAGGATGGGCATTGGCCCTGGAGGAGCCGGCGGGCCTGAGCCAATCGCCCGGGCTCCGCATCCTGCGCCTTGAGCGACGGGTCTGGTTTTCTGGGGCAAAATTTGGGAATTATTGGAGTGTTGACTAAATGAATACATAAATAAATATACATATATATATATATATACATATATCTATATATCTATATATCTATATCTATATATCTATATCTATATATCTATATCTATATATCTATATATCTATATCTATATATCTATATATCTATATCTATATATCTATATCTATATCTATATCTATATCTATGTATGTATGTATGTATATATATAGATGTACATAAATCAATCTCATGGGACTATGGGAGATGGTGAAAAGTCTTTTTATTCTTCCATCTTTTGAGATGAGAATAGTCAATCCATAAGGGATTGAGAGATAAGCCATGATGTTTGAATTCCCATGGCGTGGGATGACCATAGACCATATACTACCATGCATTTTTTTTGCACAGATGGTCATCATGGAGTAGGTAAAATATGGAAATTTTAAAAAATCATCAGACATATGTGGGAACACGAAACCTATTGGTATCATGGGATATAAAATGATGGGACATGGCAATCATTTGTGGGACTTATTTATGGGATAACAATGACCCTTACCCTCGAGTAATTTGAGGATTTGGCGGATTAAACATTGCGATTTTCCACGACGATCTTAAATTACCAGAGGGTAGATAGATACACCATGTATGTTTCTGTATATGCGAATCTTTTCTTTAGAATGATAAGACATGTATGTATAGTATGTTGTCAGAATTAGCCTTGTACACGTAAATTATGTGCTTACTTAGGAATACGTCTACATCTATGTGTAGCCTGGCAATTTGTTGGCGGTTCTTTGGTGGGCAAAGCTGTAACCAAGGCACGCCAGAGCATTGAGCGCAAAGTCGCCCCTGCCGGAGGTCCCTAGTCCCTAGTCCATTTTCTTGTCTAAGTTGATATCTGGATTTCATGGGATTCCGGGGATTCGTTCAGCTACAAGACTTGCTGATTTAGTGGGGATTCTGGTTCGATTTTGATGTGGGAAATCCATTTGAAGCAGTGGTGATGGGGTTCCAAAGGGGTTTGGCCTTTGGACCGAGGTGTGTTGCTCATTTGAACTCCAAATTAGGTGGATGTCCAATCATCCAATCCTAAATGGGGATTTGATATTTGATTTGTTTTTCACCAAAATGGGGATACAAACCAACTTGGATTGTTACCAGGTTTATGATGGCCTTTCTGCTTCATGTGTGTACGCCTTTTTTCTGGGCCAATGTATTCCACAAGGTTCAACATGGTTCCACTTCGCCAATGAAAAGAGACCTTAAGCGTGGACTGGCCAGGTGTGACAAGACAGGCCCAGTCTGTACCAGAGCCAAGGGCCTAGTGGCAAAATCCTGCCAAAAACCTGCAAAAACTCTGTGTTTATGTGTGATGTGTGGGAAGCTGACTGATTTTGAACAGCTGAGGGAGCTATGGGAAGCGCCGGCGGCGAAAGTGGCCAAAACCCACCGCGCTGGGCTAAAGCCGCTCGGTCCGTGGCCTCAGGTCGTCCCATCCATTGGAACAGCGGAAGGGTCGCGCGGAGCTTTTCACCAAGGTGCGGTGGAACCACGAGAATTTCAAAGCAACTGGTAGAAGCCACAGATGTTGCGGGGTACCACTGACTGCGGGGTACCAGCAGACTTGGTAATTGCAGCAATTGGATGCTTGTCTTGCCAAGTAAAGCAAGTTACACTTGAAAAAAACAGATTCTTCACATGTTGGTCGGTGTCTTACCAATCCCATTGTTGACATGTATCAATCTGTTACATCAAATTCCAGTGCTGCTTGATGCTGGCAGATGTGTTGGGTTTGCACCTGTGAGGTATCCCACTCCTGCTGACAATACAGCTGAGATGAACAGAGGAGCATACGCACCCCGTTACCGCATACCCCATCAGTATCAATTGGCTGGAGGCGGTTGGACGGTTGCTAAAGAATTGAACCTCCGGTCTCTAAGCCGGGCTGCTTGGTGTGCACATGAATATCATGTTACATTACGTAAACATGAATGGATTAGCTCTAGCTGTCTCATCAAACGAGGTGAAAGGTTCAAATGAGGAGAATTACCATCAGATCAAGATCTAAAACAACCGGAAGCTGAGCTCAACATATACTGCAGCTATCTGCAGCTTATTTGAGAACAATTTTGCACTTTGAGGCAGTTGAGTTTGGCTCGTTGAGAAGTTGACAAGTCTCTACATTGTAGCCTGATCTAAAGTTGTAAAGTTGTGTATCCTCATTCGTGACCATCCGTGACCAGAACGCCAGTTCAATCGGCAGGGAATCCCTACATGGGTCTATGAAACCGCTCTCACAGTCCCGTGGGTCCCGAATCTCTTCACCGTTCCCTTGGTTCAGAGGAGATGAGTTCCAAGAGTTCGAGACGCAGGCAGAATTCTGACAGGAACTAGAATTGGATTGGATGGGAATAATCTGTTTGGCACATGAAAATGGGTTGCAGCAGTTGCAGCGCTTCGGTTTCCTGCTGGAGGTTTCGACAGCACGTGTGCAACAAGCTACGTCTCAGGCCAGCCTTGTGCAGGTGTCATGAAGGGAGAAGAAAGCAGCTCCTCAAGAGCTCCCGGTTCCGTTGATCTTTCTTGCTCGCAGCTTTGTAGGCTCGGAGCAGTTCTTCTTTTTTTCTTGATGATGATGATGATGAAGAAGAAGAAGCCTCTGCCAAAGTAGCTTTGCAATGCAGATGTGTGTGCCGGTGCCCCTCTTGTATGACGCAGGGGAAAACGGCCAAAGAGCAAAAAAACAAAAAGCGGAAGAGCAAGAGGAGCGCGGATCCAGACACGTCCTTGGCAGAGTCCTTACATCGTCTGGCAGATCTCGTCGTTTGTTGTGCAGTTCTGCAGGAGCCGCGGAAAAGACTCCGATGTGGAGGCTGGAAGTGGTGGCGAAAGTGATTGTACGTCGTCGCATTGTCCTTGTTTCCTCAGTTGTTTTTCTTACTGGTGCCAAACGTAACATTCATCCCATGCCATTCCCAGCTCAGGACGGGGAGCGCCAGGCCAGCAGCCCATGATCTTTGATTGCTGTTTGAATGATCAACAATGGTTCATACATATATCTTTATGGTATATATATATAGTATTATTCCCCACATTGACGTGTGGGGTTTTTGTTTTTAGTTCTGTATCCGCTCCTCCTTCCCTCCCGCCCTTCCCTCCCTCCATCACTCACACTCACTCACTCACACACACACACTCACTCACTCACTCACTCACTCACACACACACACTCACTCTCACTCACTCACTCACACTCACTCACTCCATCACTCACACTCACTCACTCACACACACACACACTCACTCACTCACTCACTCACTCACTCACTCACTCACTCACTCACTCACTCACTCACTCACTCACTCACACTCACTCACTCACTCACTCACTCACTCACTCACTCACTCACTCACTCACACACTCACTCACTCACTCACTCACTCACTCACTCACTCACCTCACTCACTCACTCACTCTCACTCACTCACTCACTCACTCACTCACTCACTCAGTCACTCTCACTCACTCACTCACGCTCACTCACTCACTCACTCACTCACACACACACACTCACTCACTCCACTCACTCACACACACACACTCACTCACTCAC